CCCTTTACACAGAATTGAAGACTTGACTTGACAACAAATGCTTCCAGATGACTGACTTGAGCAAAGCGTCGAACATCATGACTTCACGCTATGTATACAAATGGAAGTTTGTCAAGAACGAGAAGGGCGAAATGGAACGGCCGATCAGGTTACGCTTGGTACTTCGTGGCTTCATGGACATTGATGCCTTCGATGTCGAAACCTTCTCTGGCACGGCAAGGAGGTCAAACCAGAGATTGCTCGCAAGTTCTGCTGCATGCAACAAAGCTTGGATCATCGCTTCCCTGGACATCAACATGGCTTTCTTGAAGGGACTGACCTATGGCGAGCTCGCCGCGGCAACTGGCGAGAAAGAGCGTGTGGTGTGCTTCACACTACCTCCTGGGTCAGCAGCTGTCCTTCGCACATTGCCAGGCTTTGAGTCATATGACGAATCAAAGCATTGTCTTCGGTGCCTCAAGCCGGGGACTGGCACGAAGGATGCTCCCAGGGCATTCTCGCTGAAGCTCAGGTCCATCACCAGGAGCTTTGGACTACAGCCTACTTCATACGATGAAGAGTTCGAGATGAGTTCAAACCTCTTGACAGCCAAACACGTTGATGACATCAATATGATTGGGAAGGAAGATTCCATTGACAAGTACGTCAAATGTGTTGAAGATACGTTTGGAAAGTGCAAACTGAACAAGCACACATACACAAATTGTGCCGTCCGGTACAACAAGACCGACGATGGGAGCGTCACTCTTGATCAGGACGAATACATCAAACAACTTCGTCCTATCACACATCCAGGGCTCACAGGCGCTGATCCTGAGAGCAAAGCGACAAAGACGATTTCTGAAATGTTCGTCAGTCTTCGTGGCGCTCTAGCCTATGCGTTGATCACGCAGGTATGGCTGATGGTCTATGTTGTTTCACTGCAACGTATCCAGGAACCGACAAACATCCAGGTACGACGACTGAACGCGGTTACCAGGAAATTGCAGGCAGGTCCGAAGAAGATCGTGTATCAAGCTATGACTCCAACAGGAGAGGTCGACCTGCATAGCGATTCTGGCTATCGTCGTCTCAACGGAGATGAAGACGACGAAGTCAAAGGCTACGGTATCCGCGGGGCTAACCTGCTGAGGCGTGGCCACACGCAAGCGGGGAAACCCGTCGTGCACCTGGTGGACGCATACTGCAAGTCTCATCGACTGCAGGTGCGTTCGAGCTACTCTGCGGAAACACTGGCAGCAGCCCACAACTTGGAAGACTGCTACCCGACCATTGTAACGCTCCACGAGCTACACTCGGGACCATTGACCCCCACACAGTTGAAGAACATATTGGAACTGGGTGGTCTATGTATCAAAGTCACTCTGACTATTGATGCCGAGTCTGTCTTCAAGTCTTTGTCTAGCAAAGATCTGAAGAAGCCCACAGAATGCACTCTGCTTGGGCACATCAGCTGGATCCGCCAGATGATGGAGCGCGGAATCGTTGAAAGCGTCCAATGGTGTGACACGCGGGATATGACTGCCGATGGTCATACCAAAGGTAGTATTGACCGCGCGTTGCTCTTACAGGTAATGGCCGGTCAGCAATCCTTCAAGCACGAGCTGAAGAAACATACTCCGTATAGGGCGGGCAGGTCGTCTCAGGACAGCCCTGCCTCCCGAGCTAGTGGGGAAACCCGCACGCAGGTGCGCTTTAGTAGCGAGGAAACTCGCCGGTAGCGAGGCTACTCGCGCGCCCTTGCCTTGTAGGCAGCCGCTGTTGCCTAGCACTGTTTTTTTCCGCGTAATGTAGAAATTCGGTGCTTGCTCGTCTCCTCCCCCTCCAACTTTAAACGGAGAGGGTTAAAGGCGAGATGTAAATCGAGCGTGCACCGCTGCCGTGCCTGGCTCAAGCCGGGCCCGGCCGAACATGTGATTGCGCCTCACCGAGGCGCGCTACTCGCATCTGAGATCGGAAAAGACCTTTCTATTGAAGATGCCCCTTCTATCCTTTACTCCAGATCCCATGCTTCATCTTGCTCTCTTGCTCATGCGGTATGAGCCAAAGCCTGGGATATGGGAGCGCCTAAGGCGGAACATATATCTTGGCTTACCAGTGCGTTTTCGACTTCATCTCCTGGGCGTCTTGGAGCGTCTTGGGGGGTCTCTTGGCGGTGGCGATGTGGCGATGTGGCGTCTTGGAGGGAGTGGCGATGCGGCTGTCCGCGGCGGGCTCGGCGGTGGGCGGCGCGGACACCACGCGCCGCAAGGGCAAAGCCAATCGACCTGCGCCGCGCGCTGTGGCAGCTGCCCCTGCGGCGCCGCCGCTGCAGTGCCAGCTGCGCGGGCCCGCGGGCAAGCGGTGGTGCGCGGTGCGCCGCTGGGTAGAGAGGAAGTCGGCCTGCCCGGGCAGCATCGCGGCAGCGGCTCTCGACCTGAACGCTGCCCATCGCAGCGGCGGGCCCAGGCCTCACCGCCTTGCGAGGGTGCGGCCGCAGAACGAGCGGCAGATGGTGCGTGAGATGCCCGTCGTCGCCTGCCTCACCTGCGGCGCGCTGGGGTCGCGCCGCGCTTCGAGCTTCGCCCGCGAGCGTCTGGCCCCCTCGGCGAAGGCGACGGCGGCGCTCACCAAGTTGGCAGACGGGAAATCGCCGCACGGGGACGTGGCGATTGAGCTGGAGCTGTTGTGACCCGGTCCTGTGGTGGTGTACGAGTGCGCGCACTCCCAGTACACCCTCGACGTTCGGCGCTGGGCGGCCGCCGCTGCCCGCGCGCCGAAGGCGCGGCCGCGGCCGCGCGCGGGGCGGAGAGACCCTTCGCCCTCAGCCGCGCGCTCTCTCTCTCTCTTGGCGGTCGTGGGGGGCTCTTCGGCGTCTTGGGTGCCTCGGGAATGCCTCTTGGGCCCGCTTGGGATCCTTTTGGGGGCCTCCTGGGTGCCTTTTGGAGGCCTCTTCGGGCCATAGTCTTGAGACCTCCTGGGGCCTCCAAGGCGCTTCTTGGGGCCATCTTGGAGGAGATGGATCAACCAAGCGAGGGGCTTTAATCCCACCAGCCCTCTGGGCGCAGGTGGTCTAGGGCGTTTCTCTTTCCAACCTCCTGCCTTTCCCTGCTCGGGACGTTCACCCCCCCCCCCCTGCGTTTGGACGGGGGGGGACGGACCCATAGCAGCGTCCAAGATGGCCCAAGATGGCTCCAAGAGGGCCTCCGACGAGCGCAAGATAGCCTCCAAGCTGGTCCAAGATAGCGGTAGACGGGTCAATATAGCCTCAGACACGCGTCCAATATGCCTCAAAACGGCCCCAAGACGGTTTTAAGTGCCCTCCGAGGCCTCCAAGAAAACCCCCAAGAGGCCAAACTCCTTCAAACACCTACGGACAATCAATGTTTTTTTGCTTATCGCTTTTTCGCCTCCGAAGGGCTCTTGAGGCCTCAAGATGGCCCCAATATGGCCCAATATGGGCCCACGATCGCCCCAATACGGCCCCAAGAGCGCCCAAGAGCGCTCCAAGAGCGGGCCAAGAGGGTCCCAAAACTGCATGTTTGAGCCTCCGATGGGGGGGACACAATAATTGAGGCCCCCCCCCCTAATGACCAAGATGGCCCCAGGAGGCCCCTCAGGCATCCTAAAAGAGTCCCACGAAGGCCCCCAGACCCCCCCAAAGAGCCCCAAGAGGGCCCCAAGACGCCCCAAAAGAGCCCCACGAAGCCCAAAAGGCCCTAAGAGAAGCTCAGGAGAGCCCCAAGAAAGAGCCCCAGGAGGCCCCACGAGGGGCCCAAGAGAATCCCAAGAGAGCCCCACGATGCCTCCAAGTTTCGGAGCGCACGCGAGTTTAATATACAAATCAGTGCAACATCCATTACGAGTCGTCGAAACACCCATCACCCCCCATCGAAGCACCATCGTAGTTTGCACTGATTCCCATCTTAAACTTCAATGCGGGAAGCTATGTGTGATCCTTGTTTTCTCGAAGACGGCTGCGCGACTGCATGCGCCCTGCCGCCCCTGATTCACCAACTCCCCTGCTGATCATTTCTGGATGGGCTGGTGGGGATACGCGAATCGCCAAGAATTAACGTCCCCCCAAGAGGCCAAACTGGGGCCAAAACCATACTAAAACCAATGATTTTGGCTTCCTCGACACCTCGCGGAACCCCCTGTCCAGGTCCAGGGGGGGGGGCATGGGGAGGGGCACCCCCCCCCCCCGAAGGGGAAGAAGAAGGAGGGGTGGAAGAGGAAACTCCCTAAACACCGACGCCCTCAGAGGGCTGGTGGGGTTCTCGATGCCGTCGTGTAGCCGGTTTGGCTCGAATGATTCATTGAGTGATCTTAGCGGGCACCGCATCCGCCATTATTTTATTATGGCCCCCAAGAAGTCTCCAGTTTCGGCCAAGGCTGCCACCAAGCCTGGCAAAGTTGCCAAGCGCTCCTCCGATGCCGCTGTCGCCGATGGCACTCATCCCAAGGACGACGTAGACACCCATGCTGCGAATATGAATGCTGCGTATTACTCCAAGCTGCAGACCGCCTATGACACGATCCTGTCGTGCGATGATTTCGGCGCTGCGTTCTTGAAAGAGGATCCCTGGGGCCTGGAATGAAACCTCGATCGCTACTTATCCTTCTCCTCATTCTCCTCCCTTCGGACAATTTGTCATCCTCCTCCCCTCCATCGTCGACCTCCTCCTCCTGGACCTCCTCCTCCTCCTCCTCCTCTTTTTCTTTCTCCTGTTCCTCCTCCTCCTCCTCCTCCTCCTTCTTCCCCTCCTCCTCCTCCTCCTCTTCCTCCTCCTCTTGCTCGGACTCATCGCCCTCGCGAGTTTGTCAAGTTCTGCCCTGCCACCGTCTTTCCCTCGTCGCCCAAGGACCCGCTGCCGCTCACGAAGAATGCTGATGAACACTGCGGGATCATGGCTCCGTTTAGTATGGATGATTTCCAAGTGTCTATGGAGACGAAGGGTGAATATATATGTGGTGGCAATGCTGCGTGGGTCAACCCTTTCTGGTCCTATTCAGGCGGCATGCCACTCGACGTTGCAGCATGGGATGTCATCATCAAAGATAACTTGCACGATGCCAACGCAGCCCGCTACCCAGGACTTCTAGCGGTGGCCGTACTAGGCGAACGAACTCCGGCGAACCCACAGATGCGCGGGTACCTCCGGATGATCAGCCCCGAAGAGACCCTCCATGCCCTCTATATCAAAGTCGCGCAAGAGATCGACCGCAACGCTACATCGACGGAGCTAAAGAAATGGGGTGCGGCCTATCTAAGTGTGCCTATGAAATTCGTGAATTTGAAGAACCACTGGGACGGCTTCTGGAAGGCCGGTGAAATGCGGGAGAAGATTGGCAATGACTACGAACTTCTGTATCCAGCACCGACGCAGCGCGCCGTGCAGATCGCTAACTTCAAGGCCAAGATCTTCAAAGAGCAGAGCCTGGACCTCACGCGCGCGCAAGTTTTCGAACACTACAAGAAGAACTTGACTTTCTCCAAGGCGTCGTCGGACAAGATGTCCGTGAGCTACGTCGACAGCGCCTTGACTGTGTACAAAGGACTACTGTCGTGCCCAGCCGCGCTGGGCCTCGTCACTGAGATGAAGAATCGTGCAGGGAAGAAGACGCCCTACGACTCTATCTACAAGATGGAGCTCTACACGCGGAAAGCGAACGATATCCCTAGGATGCTGTGGATGCTTCGGTACACTAACGAGGTCATCATCGAGGGCGCCGTCGGGCCAGGGGAGCTGATTTTCAACAATCTGAGTGGAAAAAAAAACCAAGGGGGAGGCAAAGGGCTGCTGGACCTGTTCTCCATGAAGGAGGATCTGCGAGTCAGTTTGATCGGCCCGACCCTGGATGGCATTAACTTGGAGTTCAATGGAAAGGAAGCTATTCGGGCGATCTTCGCGTCTTGGGACTCGTATCGGAAGGGCTTCGGCGGGGGCTCAGCTGGGACTGTCGACACGACGTGGTTGACCGCGGAGAAGAAGAGCACGCAGTATTACATCGCCCTGGTCAAGGATATCGTCTTCGACAAGAAATACGACTGGATCATAAGAGGCGTCTTGCGGAACAGACGGGGCATCGCGGATGTGCTCGATCACGAAACCATCGCATCGAGGATCCATCATATCAATGCGCTTGTTAAGGAGGCAGATCATGGAACGGTGTCGTCTCAGCAGGATGGCGTCGATCGCAAGACGGACGCCGTCCCGATCGATGACGACGTCGACTGCGTCATGACCGCGTTTCGCACTGCGCTCGGCAATATCGACATCAACATTGGCAAACCTATACTGGGGACTGACACCATCACCAAGCTGGAAGATGATAAGCGCAACCTCATCAAAGACTACGCCGCCAAAGCGAAGGAGGACACGAGGAACAAGGTCAAGCTCATCAGCATCGACGGCAAGTCAGTACATACAATCGCCAGCCTCATCGAGGACACGCCATTTGGGAAGTGCGCGCCAACAATGACGGGCCCAGCCAGCCAAACTCCATGGCGTCTGCAAGGGGATGGAGCAGAGCCGGCATCCCGCCTTGAGGACTGGCGAGCTCGGTGCTGTCGTGTCGGCGTTCCTGAAGTCCAGGATGCCATCGGCTGATGACACGATTCAGATCATGCCCGGCGACATGTATGCCTTCTTCGACGGCGGCAAGAAGTACGAGACCAAGATGCTGGGCATGCTCTTCACGGCAGATGGCAAGAAGATCACGGAGAAGCACACTCGGCAGCTGAATGTCATCTTTTTGGAGGCTGCACTGGAGCAGCGGAATTAGCTTACCCGAGGCTTCATGACTGTCGCTCAAGTGGAACGTGTCTTTCTTGTCACCAAAGACAACACGAACCTCGATAAGCAGCCCAACCTGCACTTCCCTGGCACGACGAGCGGTGACAGCCTCTACGGCGTCGGACTCCCCAGCCTGTCAGACCTCTGGGTCCTGCAATACGGCGACAAGAAGAGAATTCTCGGAGACGCTGGTATGCCGCTCCCAGGTGGCAAGACTGAGGGCCTCCCGTCGAAAGACGATGGCGTTATCAAGAAGATGAAGAAGACCGACAAGACATGGGAACCCATCACATTCCACAGCAACCACAAGCACCTCTACGAGGAGATCCTTCATCGGACGCACTCGAACGCTTGCGTGTATGACCTGACATGCCTGGATGGCATCCTCGCGAAGGTTTGCATCGAATCTGGAATCCCGTACTTGGGCCTGGTCTGGACCGACGAGTTCCGCGAGGCGCTGCTCAATCACCTGGAGACGCAGATGTTCCAGTGCTACTTGGATCCGGACAGCGACCACTACAAGGCCGACCTCGCTGCTGCGATGGGCGACAAGAAGACTGACGGTGACCACCTCGAGACGCCGCTGACTAAGAAGCGCATCTCTGGGGGCTCTCGAGGCACGGCGGCAAAGCGCAGGAGGCAGGCCTGCAAGGGGCAGCAGACCAAGCACGGCAACGGTTCAGCCATCGCCAAGGCCGCAGCGGAGCAGCAGGATGACGAGGACGGTGTTGGCGGGGATGGTGGAGCTGATGATGGCGGCCTCGGTGACGACGACGAGCCAGCGGACTCGGGGAACGATGATTTCTGAGGGGCAGTGGTGTTTGACTCCATTGATTTCGGGGAGCCTCCTTGCCGCTGAGGTTGGCGGTGAGGCGCACTCGGCGAGAGTGCAGCGGTGCTCTGACTGTGCGTTCCTGGCGGAAGCAGCAAGGCGTTGCCACAGATTCAATCGACGATCCAGCTCGCGAAGCTGGCGGATCCACGCATGAAAAATGAGTTTGTTTCGAGTGATCCCCACCGGTCACATGCTATGCTATGATATGCGTTGTTATGCTATGGCTTTATGGCGTACTCTGTCGTGCTATGCTATACTGCTACGCCACGCTCTGCCATGGTATGATTCATTGACTGCGAGGTGTTGACGCTGCTACGGTGCGATATGTTATGCCATGGTATGTTAGGGTATGGCAGATCATGTCATGATGCGTCAGAGTATGTTATTGTATGTTACGGTGTGAGGTGTGATGTCATGCGACGTTCCATGTGGCAACGCATGACTTAGCTTTTATGGTGTTTTGCGATGCTACTTTCGCTATGCTATAACAGTTGATGCCGCGCTCTGTCATGGTACGCTTTGTCATTGTATGGAACGATATGTGCTGTGATGCTGTATTGTACAATGTTTTGTGTTGTCGTGGTGTAGTATGGCATTGCGTGCGTTATTATGGTGTTGTGCCATGCTTTGCTATTTCATGTTATGTGAGTATTTGACGTGTTATGCGTTTGTGCGTTCAATTATGCGTTGATGTGTTATGCTATGGTCGGTGTGTTTGTCATGCTATGTAATGGCGTGTGCTGTGATGATGCGCTATGGTATGCACTGCTCTGCCATGGTGTGTTATCTTACGCTATGGCCTGTCATCATATGGTATGCTATGCTCGGATATGTTTTGTTCGGTGGTGTGGTGTCATGTTCTGTTATTTGGGGGGCCTGGGATCTGTCGCCCGCGGCATGCAGACTGAATGGGCGAGTCGGCGCGGGGGGCGGGACCCTCCGGGATTGTCGGGGGGGTCTTGGAGTCTGGCGGCTATGCAGAGTCGGCTAGTCGGTGCGGGTGGGGGGGCCACCAGAGATCGGGAGCCCGGCATTCTGGCGGCAGCGGTGCGCAAGGCGGGGGCAGGGATTACCGGGGGCCTGGGAATCTGGCGGCCGCGGCATGCAGGGCCCAGGCGCGGGGGGGGGCGGGTCGGCCGCGGTATGCAGGGCGGGCGGGCCAGGATGTCTGTTCTTAAAATCTAACGACCCCAACCTGTCGGGTGGGGAACAACTTACCATCCCCCTCTTCTGACTCTCTATTCCTCCTCCGTGTTCTCCCCTTCCCATCCTTCCTCCCTCTGCCCGCCTCCATCCCTCAAGCGTCGTTGTCGTCGTCAGTGTCAACGGCAACGCCGTCGACATCGTCATGTGTCATCGGCGTCAAGAAACATCGAATTTGGCCACCATCGCCATCGCAATTCTGCTCCATCGGTTTCGCAGAACACTGCTAAACTACAAATTACCCCAGTGCGACCCTACCTAGAAGTTGGAGCCCTAGGAACGCAGCATTAGTTGTTATGGTATGCTATGTTATGCTATGCTGCGCTATGTTATGTCATGCTATGCTATGCTATGATGCGCTATGTTATGTTATGCTAAGCTAAGCTATGATATGCCATGCTGCGCTGCGCTATGCTAAGCTATGATGTGCTATGTTATGCTATGCTAAGCTGCGCTATGCTATATTATGATGTGCTATGCTGCGCTATGCTATGCTATGATATGCTATGCTTGGCTATGCTATGCTATGCTAAGCATGCTATGCTAATGCAGCGCTGCGCTATGCTAAGCTAAGCTAAGCTAACCCTCTAGGCAGAGCGTATGTAGGGAATTACACCCATGTTAATGAGATAAGCAACGCTAAGCTAAATGGACGTAGCTGGGGGACCGCGGGGCGGATGCCGGGGGAACCGCCCTGGGCGAGCGCCACTGCCCGGCCCTTTTAAGCTTAGACTGTAAGAACCCTTCTAGGCAGAGCCCAGGTAGGAAACAGAACAACAAAACAAACACCAACTACAAACAACACAACAATACGGGACAAACAACAAAACAACATGGAATAATACAACTACAAACAAACAAAACAAACAACACGGAGCAACAACTACAAACAAAACAACACAACAAAACGGCATGCCGAATGCATGGTAAGCAGAAGTGCCATTTTGGCTGAAGGAACTTGCTGAGGTTTTGCATCCGAGTAGTATCCATCAATGCACAATGTCCTCTTACGCCGACATGGATGATTACATGATGCCTAATGTACGCCGTTTGCCTACTGTCCGCCGTAGGCCTGCCGTGGTCGAGACCGCGACTCCACGCAGGCCGCCAGCTGCTAAGTCTACGCCCAAGCCGCGGGCTGAGAAGCGCGGTCGCAGAGGCTCTCGCGGGCCGTCGCAGCAGCCTGCTGCTAAAGCCAGCAAGGCTGCACCGACCAGGACGATGAGCACTCCGTCAGCAGCTGTCGGTGGGTTCCGCTCGCATCTCTTCAAGCAGAAGCACCCGGATGACATCCTTGGCGCAGACATCCTCAACCCGAAGGGTTTGGCGATGGACAAGTCGTTCAGGAGTAAAGCCCACCATATTCTCAAAACTTATCCGTACGATGGTACGCTGACTATGGGAAGCGCATGTACTGGCTGGGCAGTGGGCGTGCAAGCCGCCATGCGGATGCCTACCATCGACCACAAGCTCAAATTTGGATGCGACATCAACAAGAATGTCCAGAAGCTCGTTCGTAAGAACTTCTGCTGTGAGAGGTGGTACGGTGACGTCTGCGACCCAGCCTTCAAGTGGGCAGGCCACGTCGACGTGTTCGAGTTCGGGATGCCTTGCCAACCTTGGAGCAGAAGCAACGTGAAACCATCCGACGAGAAGGGCGCGCATGACAATCGGGCGCATGTTGCGGAGCCTATCAAGGAGTACATCATCGAGAACCTTCCAAAGTATTGATTCCTGGAGCAGGTGCCTCAGATTCTATCTGGGGAAGGCTTGGTATTCCTGCACTTTGTTTTGAAATCCCTTCACGACAAGACTTACAGGGCCTACCGCGTCCAGGCCGCTCTGATCAACTCCATGGACTGCGGGTGCCCAGAGGACCGCCTTAGCCTCATCATTGTGGGCGAGTTGACGTTGGCCGTGAACGGCCCCAGATTTGAGATGCCATTGTTCAAAATGCCCAGTGCCAAAGTCAGCGTGCGTTCCACCTACAATGAGTCAGCGTTGCAAGACTCGAGGGGCAAGTTGCTTGAGGACGCCATCGTGTCTGAGGGCCTGAACGCCGGCGAGACGCAGCGCCTCAATGAAGCGTACGAGTTAATCAGGAAGGGCGGTGTCGACCCAAAGAAGTCCCCTTTCGTGATCGACATCGGCGGAAGCAAGGCACGCATCAAGCTGGATTGTTTCCCCACGATGACGGCAAACAGGTGCTCGAGCTTATCGTATTGGAGTGCGGAGCTCACGAGGAAATTCAAGATCGAGGAGTTGGTACGAGGCCAAGGTGGCGACCCATCGAGACTCGACCTCACTGTGATCAGTCCGAGGGCCATGGGCCAGATCGTGGGCAATGCGATATCCGTGCCGTTGTTTCGTAAGGTCCTAGACAATATTGTGGACAGTTTCGCTGCTTCTAATTCTTGAGTCGGTGCCGCGTCGCTGCGCTTTGGGGTGATATGTAGACGGAGAGTCGTCTACAAGGACGAGTCCAACACGTTGAACATCATCTCCATCACCATCATAATTATGACACTCACCGTCATCAGCACCATCACCACCACGATCGCAATATCATCAGCATCGCCATCACCGCCAGCACCACAACCATCACCATCACCATCAGCATCATCATCACCATCACCATCATCACCATCATCATCAGCATCATCATCACATCATCATCAGCATCATCATACTCATCATCAGCATCATCACCAGCACCAGCATTAGCACCAGCATACTGATCATCAGCATTATCACCATCACCATCAGCATCACCATCATCACCATCATCATCGTCATCATCGTCGCCCTCGTCATCCTCATTCTTAACCTCATCCTGAACCTCATCACCAGCCTCATGCTGATCACCTCCATCATCCTCATCACCACCATCACCGTCATCACCATCGCCACCATCATCGCCAACGCCGTCGCCATCGTCAGCGCCGTCGTCGCCGTCGTCAGCATCATCTTCGCCATAAACACTACAAACACCATCATTATAAAAAACGCAACCACGGTCATCCCCGTAAACGGTCCCTCCTAAAAGGGCAAATGATACACCCGATCCGACATCTCGAGCCCTCAGCCCCGGGGGGTCTTCTCCAAGAGGCCCCAGCGAGGTTCCACGAGGCCCCCAAGAGGCCCCACCTCCTCCCTTCCCCTCTCCTCATTTCCCCCGTGACCGAACGGATTGTGATGTGTGAGCTCGTTTTTCATTCCTTTTCTGATCCTCTTCCTCATCGCCGTATTCCTCGTCGCTCGCCGTTCCTTCCACTCTTTCTTCCTCTTCCTCCTTCCCTTCCTCCTCCAACCTGCGCGTGGCCTGAGGGACGGGGGGCGCAGGGGCTGGACCTCGAGTCGAGGAGGGGGAGGAGGAGAAGAAGGAGGAGGAGAAGCGCCCAAGCTTCGGCCCCGCCCGCCTCCCGGAGAGGCGAGAGGGAGGAGAGAGAGAGAGAGAGAGAGAGAGAGAGAGAGAGAGAGAGAGAGAGAGAGAGAGGGAGGGAAAGGAGGGAAGGACGCGACGGCGGCGCCGACGACGCCGACGGCTCCCTGGTCCGAAGCAGCGGCGGCTTCGAGCATCCGCGCTGCAGGCTGACACTGAGGCGCAGCATGTTGCTGGGTATTCGGCCCATCCCGCCACCGTGCCTGGGTTGCGGGGCAGAGTTTCCAGGTGTGTGTATTCGGGTCTCTTCGGGGCGCTTCCGGAGAAGGATGATAACATGGATTGATAAGGAACGATGGAGCATGATGACACATAAGATGAGGATGAG